TTCATTACCAGTGAACCAATATGCCATGTATAGAAAATGGTCATAATTGATTTCCTATTTTGGAGGATGTCCATTCTCTTAATGTGTGTGCAASTGTATTAAAACAACATCATTAATTTTGTATTTACATGTTTTTYCCCTGCTTGTGTTTAACCATAGGTGCTCTTGGAGAGGCAGGACATGTTACTAATCCTTTACCGGTAAGATGATTACTACATACTACTGATCCCATGGGGTAGGGGTGTCCTTTACCGGTAAGATGATTACTACATACTGCAGATCCCATGGGGTAAGGGTGGGTGGTTTCTCTGGTATAAYGATTAAGTGGCCGAGTCAACACTTCTGYACTACTCCTGGGAAGATGGGTCTTTCCCTTTTGTTTGTTTGTTGGTGTTTTTTTTTTTTGTTTTTGTTTTTGTTTTTGTTTTTTGTTTTTTGTTTTTGTTTTTTGTTTGTTTGGTTGGTTGTTTTGTTTTGTTTTTGTTTTGTTTTGTTTTTTTGTCGTTTTTCTTTTCTTTTTTAAAACAAAATTTTAACTTTTGCTACAGGCTGGTGCAGAAGGTGTGGCTGAGCCTGAAGGAGAAGAAGAAGATCTAGATGAGATGAGATCAAGACTGGAGGCACTTCGAAGCTGAATCACTTCAAACTACAAGGTGTATATGTATAATACTTAATAATCAATGACCACCTTCTTCTTTTAATCCCACTCCAAATAATAGACTTCAATGTACATTTGAACATCATCCATATTGCGAACATAATAATTTACCAATACTATGAGAGCCAGATSTCAAGATATATCTCTGACATCAGTGCTCAAAAATGTGATCTTGAATAAGGTTTCGAGATATCATTGTGACTTTTATTTCAAAAGTACAAACTTTTGATAAGGATTATTTTCGTTTTGGACAAGATATCTCGAAAGAGACAGGACACCGCGATGTTTTATTCAGTCAGCTTTGATATGTATTATACGAAGTCTTTTAACCCCCAAGATGTAAAATATTAGTTATATGTATGCATGCTTTTAGCGTAATTGGATTAGTCACAAGAAAAAAAGAAGGAAGAACGATACAAAACGTTAAGTTGGGGGGGGGGGGGGGGGGACGCCAGCAGGATCGATCCTAAGGCTGAGAAAAACATTTTCATAAATCCTCATTTTTCTAGCCTGCGTGTTATTTTTCATGCTTTGCCGTTTAATCTATGTTCCATTGTTTTTAAATCTCACGTGTAAGTAATATAATTTCATGAAACATGAATCATAGGTTTGTATAATTATTACCTTGTTTTTTATTATCAGTACGAGTCTCCTAAAGGAAATGATAAAATTGAAAAACTAGAACTGTTTTATCGTTGGTATCACATATCATATCAATTTTAGGGAAGCTTGGAAGCTGATCTAAGTACTGGTAGGATCGGAAAGGAAGGTTTTATCAATGGATTTTTTTATTATTTTTTTTTAGAATTTCCTTGGTTAGTTTTGCGGAGGGAGAAAAACTAGAGAACTCGGGGGGGGGGGAAATCCTACGACACCTCGTAATTTCTTTTTTTAATTTTATCATGTTGCTCGAGTTCTTTGGGGGCCTTTTTTCGACCTCCTCTTTTTATTTCCTTGTATGACGCACTCGCTGTAGAACTGAAATTTGAAAGCAATTGACTAGAGTGGAAAGGATGAATAAAATGTGCAGAAACAGCCGAGAAGCCATTTCAATGCTGGAGTGTGACGCGCTTTCCACAGTAAAACCTATGTCACATTAGTGTGTCCATCACATGTTAGTGCTGTAGTAGTTCCAGCAAATATGAGGCCTCTTTACGGATGAGATGCGCAGAAACAGCCGAGAAGCCATTACAGTGTTGAAGTGGTGCGCCATGAGGCGTCTTTATGAATAAGATGCGCATGCAGAAACAGCCGTTCCCTGCTAGCAGAGTCTCTCTTCTCTTTCTCTCCCTTCTTTCAGGCGGGGAGGAAGGAGACTCTGCCGATGTAGAGCGTTTCCTTTGATACACCGCCGTCCACGATTGTGGACGAACAAAACAAGTTTTAAAACCGGTTTTCAACCGATTACATGTAGTGCGCATGAGCAAATGTAAGACACCGTGGCGCCAAACATTGTTTGACGAGAGCGGCTGTCAAAATCATGACAGCGTTGCTAAGTTACGCCACGCATGCGCGACAGAAATAATGTCCTACATCGGCAGAGTCTATTTTTCTCTCTCAACCACTAAGGAAAATAGGCTCTGCTAGCAGGGAAAAACAGCCGAGAAGCCATTTCATAATGAGATGCACAGAAGCAGTCAAGAAGCCATGTCAATGTCAAATACCATGCAGAAACCATGTCATTGCTACTTAATTCAAGGGTCTTTTACTCCAAGTGATTTTGACCGAATCATTAGAAGTAATCATAGCTAATCCCTCTTTAAAAACACAACCATTATTTTTATCACCACTTTTGTTTCCCTGTGTGTGTGTTTTGTTTTTTTTTCCACTCCAATTTTCGTCATACTTTAACTAATGGTCCCTTACGACACATCACAACAGCTTAAGGAATTTGAACAAGTGGCGAGGACAGCATAAGTGCTATTAACGGGCTGTAAATGTACTTTATGCCTAAGGACTTGAAAAAGTTTGCGGATAGTAAACGAAATATCGTTCGTGTTGCAAATGCAAAAAATTATCGTTGGTGCTACATTATTTTATTATTCGTTTGAATTTCTTTTTTTCTTTTTTTGAGACTAAATCAAGGCGGCTATTTCATAGACGGAAAGGGTCTAGACAAAACATCTTCTGTATAAGAATATAAATTTTATTTATCTTGTCAGGCCTTATTCATACAGAGGAGATTCAGTCTTGGCGAACATGTACAAGTGTGGTTCAACATGTTTTTCCAGGAATCTAAGCTAAGAATAGTACTTTTTTTTTTCTCATTCTGAATTATAGATAACTAAAAGGAGAGGGACTTTCCCACTGAGAAGTCGTGAAAGAAAATTGGATATCCTTCCTTCCTTCTTTCCTTCCTTAATTCATTTCGTTCGTTCGTTCGTTTTTTTTTTCGTTCTTTCGTTCTTTCTTTCTTTCTTTCTTTCTTTCTTCCTTCCTTTCTCAGGTTTTTCTTTTCCTCCCTCCCTATCTTTTTCCATCCTTTCCACCTTTTGTCACTGTCACAGCAAAAGACGCGCTTGGAGTCATACTCTATCAGACACTGACTGATGTGACAGGAAACAACGCTCGCTATAATTAGGTAAGGAAGTAAATTCAAGATCAGGATATCATCATTGTACAAAATTAAGGTGATTATCGTAGAATGAGTTTTCACACAATAATACGTGTTACTTTTAACATTACCACGTGGTAACGTATTCATTTATTCGTTTTCGTATTTTTACCTAAAAAGACATATTTTCAATGGCGATTAGTTTACTTTGAATTATTGAGAGCACAAAGAATTATAATTTTCATAACAAAGGTGAAAAAGCTTTCTAGTTCCCACCGCTTCAGGCTGCTTATTTGGTGTCTTTCTCTCTCTTCCTCTTTCTCTTTCTTTCCTCTTCTTTCTGACGTGAACCTCTTTAAAAGGTCTACTTGCGACTAAGCGTCGAAATGCCTAAAAATCATAAACAATTTGGTGAACCGTAGCAATAGAGAGTTTTAGATTGACTTTTTTTTTCCCCCGCAAACGGCAAACGTGACCACGTTTTAATATAGTTTTCCTGTATTTTACTTTACCTTTTACAAACCTTCTCACCAAGCGCAAATACTCTTTTGTTTTTCTACTACTTGGACTTTTTTGCGATTCTTTTTCAGTCATTTAAAAGAATTTTTTACTGGTCAACTGACGTTTCACGTTTGCCGTGAACGTAAATCTAAAACTCTCTAATGAAGATTCCGTCCACTTCTATTTTTCTAAACAACCTTGTAATTCAAATTATTAATTTGAAATTAAAACCTCCTAAAATAACATTTAATGTCAAATCAATTTTAATCTAAGTGAAGATAATTCTTAACCATTTTATATTTCTTTAGCGTTAAGTTTTTATATATATATATCCGTCAGTTGCATTCATTACTATAACCATTACCCATATGAAGTCATCGCCCATTTTACAGCTACGTACGGCGAACAGAAATGAATAGAATAGACTATCTCGCAATCTTTGTTCCCTCACACCAACATGGTGTTTTATTCAAAAACTCACTTCTTAAAAAGTGAACAAAGCCGACRATGACTAATAAAGAGAACGAACGAATGACTGATTCAATTCTATTATTTTCGCTGTTTTTCAGTTGGAAATAATATAATTTTGAGTTATTTCCATTTTTTCGGTCATAATTTTGAGTTATGTATAGAGAAGGCGAAAGTAAGCACGCAGTAGACAGAAATGTTGAGTTGAATTATGTATTTTTCTCGATCGGGTTTTTTTCCTTGATTCCGAGATTTGGGTCATGTTTTGATATATATAAACTAAAGCGCGCGCACGACTGGGAATAAATATTTGAGGGGGATTTAAAGTTGGTTGTTTTGTCTATCAGTTCAAGGTGTACTGCTAAATATGATTAGGGTGTAAATCCGCCCCATTTGTATCATGACGTGCGTGGAAACCATAACTCACGCAACAGCAATTGACTCTTTCATTAGTGGCTGAGATTTTCTCTCTCTCTCTTTTTTTTTTTTTTTTTCGTCCCATCTTGCCGCGCTCAGAGATAAATGATCCAGTCGATCCTGTGTTAAGTTGAGTTCAAAACCTTAACGACACACCATTTGTGCCTTTAATACGGGACAACTATGACTGCAGGAAATAATAAGTATCATAAATTAGATAGTCTGAATGGGTTTCCAAGACTATAGATCTCAACTATTAGATCCATTATTCCTGGTGTCCTGTGGTTTTTATAAGTGCTCTTGTGGACTATGATCTTCTCTTACCGGCGTGGTATGGTGAAAGACGAGAATAATTTCTCGCCCACAGGGCTCCGTATCATTGGATAATCAAAGCTTAATCTTCGTGCTCTTACTCGTAATTAGCGGTTACTAGGAGACAGATATGATTGATACCCAATGTAGGTACATAATAAGATGTAGATAGTAAAAGCCTTTGGTTATGTGATGTTGTTATTCATTTAGAGAAAGGCACTGGTCACTGTTTCTAGTTTCAACCTGTTTCTTTAGTTAAGCCAGGCCATGGCTCCCGCGCTGATCAAATCTGAGACCCAACGCCTTCTTGTTCGTAGCTTCTTTTTCATTTGTTATTTAGCGGTAGGGATGGTTGTATTTCGAGCTCTGGAGTCTGACAACGAGGTGAAAGAACGAAGAGACGCACAAAGGGATATTGAACTCATGAGACTTAGATTTAACATCAGTGCTGAGGAGATGAAAAAATTTGTACAAGTCATCGAAAGAGCGGCAAGTTTTGGATTCATGAACAGCTGGATTGAGAAATGGAGTTACACGGGCTCTCTGTTCTTCTCAGGCACCGTCATCACAACAATTGGTGAGTAAAAGTCATCGTATTTAGTTACTCTCTCGGCTCTCTCTCTTACCCTACGTCTTATCGCGTCTGGATAAATGAATTATCACTATCATGATYAAGAAAGTGATACGAAGTCTCAGACTTTTAAAATACTATCCAACTTCTGACGATACCGGAGTTAATCTTGATGAAAACTGCTTTCCATTTTCATAGTTTTAGACTTCAAGACCAGACTGATTAATGTGTAGTGCCAGAAAAAAGACTAAATTACTGGAAAATCAAAAATATTTTATTTTTTTAAGCTAGGAATCATTTCGAATTTTTTCTGAGAGAAAAAACAACAAAAGCCAATAAAATGTTAACTTTAATAACTGGCGTTTCCCGATTTAAATCACACACAAAAATTAAATGCAGTGTATTTATCGGTTATTTCTTTTCATTATACCGTGCTATTACCACAATGGATTGACGTTTTTTATTGCCTCCGTTGGCATCAATCTTTAGAAGGGGAGTTTTTTTTTTACCACAGGACTCAGAGCTGGTATCTCCTTAGCATAACAGTTGGTGACGGCCGACTGACCAGGCACGCTTCGAACAGAACGGCAAACGAAATAAGTAATAAATGCTGAAAAGACTTAGACAAAAGAGTATATGTACTTATATAAAAAAGGTTCAAAACTTTGTTTTAAAACATTTGTGGATTTGAAACAGAGAGTGTTTTATACGCCTTCAGCTGATGTCTTTTAATATTTTTTTTCTTTGCTGAAATATTTTGAACAAAATCAGATCAGATTGTTATTAATTATTTTATTGAAAAATTCATTAAAGAGTGTTTATTCAATTTTCATTTAGCATAATTTTAAACTTACCGCTAGTCCGTCGGTCGCGAGATTCTCATATAGCATGAAGCGTTTTTGATCACAATTCTACCCAAAAATATGCCCACTGTTGTAATAAGTGAGTAAGTTAATGCGGAGAGATTTGAAAACRTCTAGCCAGATAGGAAATGTGTCCGAATTGAGTGACTTAAAATCAACAAATGCTTTTGTCCACGTGGAAAGCAAATCTTTTCTGTCAGATTCGATTTCATTTTGTCGAGCTTGAATGTCTATTTTATTTTTTATGTTTTTATTATTTATGTTTAATTTTTTATTTTTTTATTTTTATCTAATTCTTATTTAATTTCTTTAATTTATTCATTTATTTTATTTTTTCAATCAAAACGCATTGAAAACGAGAAATATTTTTCAGTCCTTTATGTAAAATATATTTTATCCATTTCTTCAAAAGCTTACTGTCTTTTTTGATGCTCTGACTATCCCGTCATGGCCCACAAAACTTTCTTTCCCGCACTTTGTAAGGTAATTTCAGGGGCGGCGGAAGCTAAAAATCTTTGGGGGGGGGGGGGGGCGCTGCAAAAAACTTTGAGGGGTGGGCACTGAAGATTATATTTAACGCATTAACCAAATTGAGAATTAGTAATCACGACTTTGAAATCGAAAAGGGAAGACATTCAAGGGAGTATAAAAAAACAGAAGAAAGGAGATGCTTCCATTGCCCAGATAGTGTAGATGAGAGGCACTTCCTTCTTCACTGTACATTATATTCAAATCTAAGGGAAGAACTCTTCAAGGACATAAATAACATAAACAATGATTCTCTATTGTTAAATGAGAACGAGCTGTTTCTGCTATTTRTGAGTCCGCCCAAATTGTTAGCAGTTGCAGTAGCAAAATATGTCCACAACTGCTTTATAAAAAGATCACATACAATACAGAATTGATATAGTATGTGGTCTTCTTACCCAGACTAGGCAATAAATAGTAATTGTACTAGGGTTGTTACTTTAGGTACACCCATGCTCTTTTATTGAAATCTTCAACAGGTCTGTGAGGGGGTCGTGGTGTTAACTGGCACCCACTACCTAAATTGATARAATGGGTCCGTATTGTAGACCATTGTCTTTACCTTGTCCGATTAGAAAAATTTTACCGAAAACTGAGTCATTCCCAGAAAAATATTTTGTTTGAATAGTATCCATATTCATTTATCTTCTCATGCACAACCATCAGACAAAGAAACGATACTCTAGGGAATAACACGTGGTCTAAGATAGGAAACACTACCATAAACCTGAAAGGATTTAATAGAGAGTTTTAGATTTACGTTCACGGCAAACGTGAAACGTCAGTTGACCAGTAAAAAATTCTTTTAAATGACTGAAAGAGAATCGCAAAAAAGTCCAAGTAGTAGAAAAACAAAAGAGTATTTGCGCTTGGGTAGAAGGTTTGTAAATAGTAAATAGAAAACTATGAAAACGTGGTCCACGTTAGCCGTTTGCGGGGAGAAAAAAAGTCAATCTAAAACTCTCTATTGACAAATACTCCCTTCCCTCCCCTCCCCCCAAAAATTCCGTATTGAGCGCAATACTGGAATCCAGATGACAGATGTTGACGTCCGGTTTTTACTGGCGTCTGGGTGGCTTTACTTACTATTATAAGCCAAAAACCGAGTTTAATTTAGTAAATTTAGGAGAGATATAGATAAACCGCTAGTAAAGCTGGTCCACCGACGTCTCTCGTGAGCGATGTACAACATACGTGAAATATCGTGTATTCGATTCATACACGATGAACAGTTACTTGTACATGTTGTAGAAATATTATCTATTTTCTCTTTATAAGCTAGTAAAATGTTAAACGTAAAGTAAAGTAAATGTAAATGTTTTCGGAGCGCAGCTCCTTCTTCAGACGTGATCAGTTGAATGTACACATTCGCATAGGGGCAGATTGTCACGCACGGTGAAATTGGGCTCATGATAAGTCCTGTTCTAGTTACTTGTACCGACAAACAGTCTGGACTTCACCACAGTCTCGCTGTATTTAGTAAATGTAAAACCATGCTTCACTGAAAACATCCATAAATGTAGAAGAATGTTTTAAGGTTACTGAAATATTGTTTGATAATCTGATTGACTTGTTCAAGTTCAAGCGTTGCGGCGTAATTTGATTAAGGTTGCATAATATGAAACGCCTTATGGTGTATTTCGCTGTCCATTGAGTGACGTATCATCTGCAAGGAAATATGGGCTTAAAGTGGGCTCCCTGGGGAAAGGAACGTGCGCCCATGAAAGTAAAGTTTTTTGAATACGACTGTTCTAACCTTAGATATGAAATTTACCGACTACGCGGCTTACTGCGCTTCACAATCACGCGCAAAATCGTAAAATTCCTATCGCGACAAAATAAGGCCTTGGTGGACGTCAACCAAATTTTTTCCATGACATTGCCGGGAAATACAAAGCTTTTAAGGGCATGTGCCTATGGGAATGATGTAAAAAAGCCTTGATTGACGCATACCAAAACCTACTTTGTCGCGACGGCAAATTGTACGATTTCGCGCGTGTAATTGAGGAGCGCTGTCATATCACCATTATCCTCCCCCACACACCATTAAAACCCCCTCGTTTGTCCTCCGCAAGCTTAGACGGTTGGCATTCTTTTTTTCGTACAACGCAGAAACCACAAGCCCCCGGATTTCTGTTCGTCTGTTGAAGCCAAAGTTATTGTGCTTATCGCACGAAAAGAGAGAAGAACGTATGCGCATGCCTCAACACACAATTTCGTCACCGACATTCAATTCGCACCGTCGTAAAAATATCTAAGTTTAATTGCAATTGTGTACAAAATGCCAAAAATTAAGTTCGCTGCTAGATAATTTTTTTCCGCAACGAACTTTTTAGTGTTCTTTTTCTCGCTTTTTCAGTTTTGAGCGCCCCCAGCTTATCGCAAAAAAACTAATTGATGAATGTTCCTGAAACCTTTGATTAATACACAAGAACACGTTTTAAAAGAACTCTGAAGTTGTTAAATATGAAGCAACTGCAACTCTCTGAACAGAAGACGTCATTTAGTGTTTTCTTTGCTGATAACCCTTAGACATGCGCACTTGGAGCATCGTCCACATATCGCCTACAATTATCGTATACATAACGCTCGCGCCATCCTACAACTCTAGTCGTAGATTGTAAATCAAGCCTACAACTCGCCTTCGACAGACGCGAGCTTCTTGTATATGATAGTTGTAGGCGAAAATCGTAACGTCTAAACCGGCCTTTATTCTTTATGGTTTCCTATAATTTCAATGAACGTTCAACCCAATTTTTGTTTAAATAAACTTCACGGCATGTTTTTCGAAACGCATCCCACATGGAAAGAATTGAGCATGGATACCTACCTATATCAATCATTGTGATCAGTATAGGTGTTGGGGCAGAAATCTCCGTCATAGCCGTAAATGCTTCGCGCTGCCATATTGCGCTTCAGTACTATGTCTGGAGGTATGGTCCTAAATTTATTAATCAATGGCCAAAAGTAAATACAAACGCCATACTTGAAACTTGGGCAAATTCCTTTTTAATCTTTTTTCTTTATATATCAGAACCCTTTTATATATTTTTTCATGTCTAATTCCATGAAATGCCCGCACCCATGCGCACAACTTTTACTCGCAACTTAAATTTAATCGTGTGATTTCTGTATTTTATCCTATCAGGTTATGGCCACTTTGCACCTACAACGCTTGGCGGTCGTTTGTTCTGCATGGCATATGCCTTATTTGGTATTCCAATCACGTGGTTGATGCTGACGTCACTAGGCAAGAAAATCGTTGAAAAGATTTCTTCGTCTCTTGAAGGTTTATCAAACCCCTGCTTCGATCCAAAGAGCAAAGGATTTAATTTTCTCTGCTTACTCGTTGCCATCGTTCTTAGCTTCTTCGTGATGGCTTTCGTTGCCACTGTTGGTATGTTCAGCGAAAACTGGACGTTCTTGGAGGGATTCTACTTTGCTTTCATTAGCCTGACCACTATTGGCTTTGGGGACTACGTTCCAATRCATCCGAATATAAACCCAGAAAATCTTGAAAAATCCTCGTTTAGGATAAGCTTGTTTATCTTGTTTTGTTTGTTTTTGTTTTCTTTTGGTCTGGCTGTGACTACCAGTGTGTTACTGTCGATCAGGAAGATCATGGAAGATCAGACAATTTTAGGGTTTCAATCACTGTACAGTAGTCCCTATGACGCAGAACCGGATGACGAAAAATAATAACGGTATTTAAAACAGACAAGTATAACTGCCGCAAGGGTTCATGGGACACCCTGAGTTCCTGGACAAGAAAGATGATGTAAGGGGAACATTCTTACAGAAACCTGTAATGGTATACRACAAAAGTAACTCACTTATAGGTTGTTTTTTCAGATCAAGAACGTTCTTTGTCTACCRATTTCTAATATAATGTTCCTAGACTAAGAATGAAAAGACACCGATTTCAACGAACAATTTCATGTCCATCATCTCCTGCACCTCATCTCTTCCCTTCGCGCGCATTTTCGCATGAGGTTCCCATTGAATCAGGRATACTCTTGAAGGGAGCGCAGTCTTGAACATAAGGATGAGAAGGAATGACAGTATCGTAGAATAAAAAGTACGGAGAATAAAAACTGAAATTTCTTATACCGTCGTTGCGAGACGATATGCGGTAAAGCACTTTCATTCGCGCCCTAAAAGGTTCTTTTTCTCCGAAGGAGAACTCGAAAAAGAAAGCATCGGTATYGGAAATATAGTCACGTGATCAGAATGACTTTCAGTTTCGCCTTACTTTCAAGAAACGGTGCTGACCATGATGACCGCAGGCTCAAAAAAGCACCAGACATTAAAACGTTAGGGATATGTCACGTGAATAAAATTTCAGACCAGTCTCGCATTATTTTTTCAATCAGTGCTGATCTCGATGAGCGCAAACTCAAAAAATGCATCGCGTATAAAAAACTAAGGAATATGGTGACGTAAACAAAATATCCAATCGCATTTTTTTCGAGCAAACTAAATGCTGAGCAGAATGTGCGCTAGTTTCTTTTGTAGCCGTTCTTAACAAAGAGGACTAGATGTGCGCAGACTGGTGCAAGATTATACTTGGTATCACGCATGCGCAGTGCACAAAATTGAAAATAACYGTGAGTGGTATAAGAAAATTGCTGTATATGAAATAAAAAAGACAAGCTTTAAAATACAAGCTTTGTCATGGTAACGGTCGTTTCTATTTCCGTCGTTCTCATTGTCCTCCTACAAAAAGAGCGACGTGTGATAGACCAATTTTCTAAATCGATTCGCGTGCACAGAATGCCATCCTGTGTTGGAAAGATGCTTCGGAAGTCACTGGGGACCAAAGCAGAACGAACTTTATTATAATGACTCGCCAGCAAACAAYTTACGTAGTACGTATGACGCAAACATGCCTAAATAAGAGCAGAGCGCGAACATGAAGAGTTYATTAGGGCTTCGTGTGCTTTGGGCTTGGGAACCTAAATGAAAAAAAGCCGAAAATTGAATCGAAAATTGGAAAAACAACTATTATTACCAAAGTATATATCATAACAATAACAAGTGGGTGTGAACAATGGCAGAAAACCGGTTGGTCAAAATTATGGTCATCAGATTATTCATCGAAATATCGCAATTCATGTCCAGGGGTGCGTGCGTCTAATTTGGAAGTAAATTCTAATTGCGTTGTTAATGAAAGTTTTTTATTTTAATTTATTTATTTATTTTTTTATTTTAATGTTTGATAAATAATTGAGGTCCATTGAGGGCGTTTACATGCAAATTATTTATCAAAAAACCGCGATTTATTTCCAGGGGTACGAACGTCTAATTTGAAAGTAAATTGAATTGCGTTAATTTTTTTTGTTTGGTTTTTGTTTTTTTGTTTTTAATGTTTGATGAATAATTGAGGTCTATTGAGGCAAAATATCGCAATTCATGTCCAGGGGTGCGTGCGTCTAATTTGGAAGTAAATTCTAATTGCGTTGTTAATGAAAAGTTGTTTTTTTTCTTTTGTTTTTTGTTTTTTTTATTTTTTATGTTTGATAAATAATTGAGCTCCATTGAGGGCGTTTGCGTGCAGTGCCTCGAGTAGCATGGAGGTTGCGGTTAGGTGTATTGTCACAATCTGTTAACCTTAGTATCTTAACCACAAAGCATGGTTAACCGGATGACATTTGAGAAGTCGGTAAAATGCGCAGGCGATACTCGTAGTTCGTTCTTAATGCCGGGAAATGAAAGGATTAATTAGATCATGTTCGCCCACTAAACCAAGGCTGAGCTCAGCCGGTATAATTTCTCTCGAAAGGGTCACGGGAAACAAGGATTCTGGCGCTGTTTCTCAGACGGTTATTGCGATAGAAATTAAACCGGCTGAACGCAGGCTAACTAAACCAAACACCACAGATACCAAATACTGGTGTCAACGTGACATGCTCCACGCTTTTCTGCTTTTATTTTCTTTAATTCTACTTATTTTCATTTCTGTTGACATTTTATCCCAATGTCCTCATTATTTTAACTTTTATCTTCAATCCATCCAGCTGCTACTTTCCTTTCTGTTTTTCATTTTTCTTATAAATGCTTGGTTTTTCCATAGCCACTTTTTTTCCTCAATTKTTTAGTTTATAATTCCCAAATTTTTCTTCTGAAGATATTTGGCTTTTCTTTCCAATTAGCTGCGTTTTTTCCCGCTTTCTTGTCTATGTCCTTTTTGTTTTTACTTTTCTATTTTATCTTTCTTTTTTAACTTTTTTTTCTTCCCGWTGTTGTTCAAGTTTTCTCGTTCTCGTTTCTCTCTTTCCTTAATCTCCCTCATTTGCTTCCTCCTAAACTCTTCTCTTCCTGTACGTTCTTTTCMAACATATTTACTAGCCTCGCTTGATTTCTCATAATTATTTTTTGTCGTCATCTTTAAACTAAAAACAAAACAAAGAAAAGGAAGAAAAAGAAAGAAAGAAAAACCTCACTCACACACTAGTGAGCATGCACCCGTCATCATATATTTGGCGCACTTTCTGCCACTGTTCATCGGATGCCAGTTTTGACGTTAAACATCAATAATTGATAACCAACTATTATTTATGGAGCCTTAAATATGTTTTATATAGATTTCATTCTATAGCACCTGCAAAATGAAGCTTTATTGTTCAATTCTATAAATTTCATTATAACATTGATAATAAGGGCAGCCGTTGAAAAAAACCATAACATTTAAATTTAGAAAAAGGTGGTTTTATTTTTAGAATTTTTTTCGCTGGAGATTTTGATCGATGTTGTTATCATGTTCCATGGGGAGATATATAAGCTTACAGGAGACTATTATCGTTTCCTGTGTTCATTGGTTTTCCTTTTTCATTTATTTCTTCCTTCCTTTCCTTTTTGTTTTCTATTTTTATTTTTTTCTTGTGACGTTTGCTTTATTTAAAAGCGAACAAATTGAAAATATTCAAAAAACAGGGTTTTTTTATTTGGTCAAGATCTTTTCTTTCTTTTCCTTGTCTTCTCTTCCTTTTCCTTCCCTTCCGCTTC